GGTGTCAGAGGTGACACCATCACACGGTTCAAGGTGTCAGAGGTGACACCATCACAAGGTGTCAGAGGTGACACCATCACAAGGTGTCAGAGGTGACACCATCACAAGATGTCAGAGGTGACACCATCACAAGGTGTCAGAGGTGACACCCTCAAACAGTGGATCTTGTTGCGTAACACAGGAGAAACCCTCACGTCGATGTGCAGCTGCACTGCTGGCGTGTGCAGTACATGCAGCCACGTCATTACGGTGCTGCACAAAGTGGAGTTCGCTATCACAAACCATCTCAACTCCGAATCCCGAACAGAGACAAGCTGCGCGTGGAATAAATGTACGAAGAAAACAGTTGAGCCGAAAAGAGTCGAGGAAATGGAACTCCGTTCTGACAGTGCTCCAAAGTACTCCTCTTCAGACACTGCATCGGAATCTCGGAAACGTAAACTGACGTTCCATCCACGTCGAGACGGTGAGAACAAAAAGAACCCTGAAGAAGTTGTGAATTTTCTGGAGGGTCTATCGACGTTTGCACCCAAGTGTGCCTTATTTTCTGGAGGGTCTATCGACGTTTGCACCCAAGTGTGCCTTATTTTCTGGAGGGTCTATCGACGTTTGCACCCAAGTGTGCCTTATTTTCTGGAGGGTCTATCGACGTTTACACCCAAGTGTGCCTTATTTTCTGGAGGGTCTATCGACGTTTGCACCCAAGTGTGCCTTATTTTCTGGAGGGTCTATCGACGTTTGCACCCAAGTGTGCCTTATTTTCTGGAGGGTCTATCGACGTTTGCACCCAAGTGTGCCTTATTTTCTGGAGGGTCTATCGACGTTTGCACCCAAGTGTGCCTTATTTTCTGGAGGGTCTATCGACGTTTGCACCCAAGTGTGCCTTATTTTCTGGAGGGTCTATCGACGTTTGCACCCAAGTGTGCCTTATTTTCTGGAGGGTCTATCGACGTTTGCACCCAAGTGTGCCTTATTTACTGGAGGGTCTATTGACGTTTGCACCAAAGTGTGTCTTATTTTCTGGAGGGTCTATCGACGTTTGCACCCAAGTGTGCCTTATTTTCTGGAATGGCTGCTCAACTTCAGACAAAAAGTTTAGAGCCGATATCTATGCCTCCAACCGTGCTCCAAGCAGCGGAACAATGCATCGCCAAGAACAGCAGTTTGGATGACAAGGGATTGTGCAAAAACAAAATTGTGAAACTAAACAGGTGGTCACAACTAGAAGAAGCTTTACGCTATCCGAATTCTTTAGACTTAGATCATACTAGCTGGGCCCCCTTACGATGAAAGGAATGATCGGTGAATTAACTGAGGCGAATCTTGAAGATGAGGGAAAGAAAGAGGAGGGTTATCAAGTACAGTTGAAAAATGAAAGAAATAAAAAGAACACCTACTCCGATGCTGTCCGTGTGACATATTTATAGTATATATATAGTATGGCCTTGCAAGGTGAAGCTACTGTTGCAGCATCAAAATGTTCAACAGTCGTCAAAATTATTGCTAAACATTTATTTGATACTGAATTGTTTCTACAAAAGATCTCCCCTTGCAAGCAGTTTGCTCTTAACATGTCTCATGAGGGCAATTTTCTATCCAGAAGTCAGGTTGTTGAAGAGATTAGAGCAAATGGACATTTTACTTTCGCCACAATTGAGACATCGCGGCAAAAGAGACGATATTGAGAGCGCCACAGATGAGACATCACGGCAAAAGAGACGATATTGAGAGCGCCACAATTGAGACATCGCGGCAAAAGAGACGATATTGAGAGCGCCACAGATGAGACATCACGGCAAAAGAGACGATATTGAGAGCGCCACAATTGAGACATCGCGGCAAAAGAGACGATATTGAGAGCGCCACAGACGAGACATCACGGCAAAAGAGACGATATTTAGAGCGCCACATTGTTTAGTCAAATGGCGGTATGATGAGTCTTGCGTTTCAAGGGGTGGCATCAGAAACAGCTGAGACTTTATTGGAAAAGTCTATTTGTTTAATCAATGAGCTGTGTGATGTTTATTGTTTCCAAGATGAAACTATTTTGCATGACAGTCTGTTCAAAGAAATTTTGAGCAAGATGAAATGTCTGATGAGTGACAAAGCTTCGGTCATGAAACTCTTTGACAAGAAATTGGCTAATTACAAAAAAGAGGTTTTGGGGACAGATTGCAGTACTCACTTTCTGTTTTGTAATGCTCGTTTTTTGTTAGGTGTCAGTCTTACTGCAGAGGAGGTCTTGAAAGAGATACCTAAAGAGTTTGCAAACAGCAATACATGTCATGTATCAGCCTGGGTAGGGATGCTTCAGACAAATTTTCAAGACTTGCAAATTCCACTGAAACCCCAGCACTCAAAGTTGTTAGAGCTGCTGCTGATGTTTTTGGCCCGCGTGTCGATGAGAAGAATGGTCGTCGAAATGAGTGGCTAGTCTTTCTCGAATCCATCAAGATTAAGTCAAAATTTACCATCTACAGAAACAACAGATTTAATAATGTCTTTGACAATTCATCTGCACTGCTATTCCACAGAGAGCATATCATTGATTTTTTGACAAAGTCAGTCTCTCAGGAAAATTTGAAGCTTTTAAGCATTTTAGAAGACATTAAAGATGACAATATCATGGCTATGGTTTCTGCTTTGGATAAGTTCAACACACTCTTCACATCCCCATACTGGTCACTATTGAACAGTAAAGTTTCATATATATGGGGAGTTTCCACCGTATGATAAACTCATGGAAGAGTTCCTCACCACAAAGCCAAGCACCTGTGTTTTCCCTGACTTTGTGTCCCCTGATTCACATCCTATTTCAAGTATTTGTCATGAGTCAAGAGAAACTTTTCAGAATGTTTACAACAGGTTACACTCAAACACTCCCGATGTGCTGAAAAAACACTCCCGATGTGCTGAAACGTCAGCTCTTTGACTTCATTGGGCATGGTGTTTTCGCTGGGCGGGGAGTTGGATGAAGATGTCTAAAGTGTTTTGATGACTGGACCATTATCAAACTGACAGGAGAGAGGCTCTTTGGGGATTTAGACTATGACATATCCAAGAGAAGAAATGCATCCTTACATTTGCGTTCCTCGTTCAACATGTGGAAACAATGGCACAGGAAAATGGCTGTTGCGTAAGAAAAAGCAGGAGGCAATTTATTTGTTAACCCTGGCAAGGAGGTACGGTCCAAAATTAAAGAAGCGAAGTAGAGATAAGGGGAGAGAAGTTAGGAGGGTCATCATGGAATGGCTACGGGAAGATGGAAGAAAAAAAAAGAGGCTAAAGAAGTTAAAGAGAGAGAGAGAGAGAAACATGTGTCTGTTGTCAATGCTGTCATTGGTCTTGGTGGGGTGTGTGTCACAAAAGATAATGACAATGTGGATAGGATGTTGCAAGAGGGGGGAAACACAGATGAAATGTTAAAATCTCAAATCAGATATAGGAAAATAGTAATGCAAGAGAAGCATGTATCCTTTGTGGGTGGTTATGCTCAACAGTACAAAACCCTCATTATAAAATTGGGGTATGATGAGGCAGTCCCACCCCCCAAGAAAGTTTAGTTAAGTATGGGGTTTTACAGCGCTCGCAACTGCTTAAGGTCATATGAGCGCACGAAACACAAGTTAGTTTTTTACTCGCAGTTCACTGAACGGCTGGGTCTTAAAACGTTAAAATATTTAAAATTCGGTGTAAATATATATTTTCAATCTAAACGGATAGAGTTAAATTGATTTTAATTGGAAAGAAAACCATCCATATTATGTCAACATTTCACAGGGCGGGTCCCAAACACCCAAAGGAATTGGCTTTTTGGGCAGCAATCCTCTCCTGTGCTGACATCTTGATCACAATTCGGTAGTCTACTATCTCACTATGCAAGGGACAATAGAAAAAGAAGCGGAAAATCTGGCATCATTGCAAGAAAGAACAGAAGAACGTTCAACCAGACGTGCACTGGCACAATCAGTAGAAAGACCCTCGGTGACATTTTGGAGAGAGCAACGGAGCATCAATGGACATGTCCGGAGTGCAGGGATGTTGCTTCCTGAAACAATGAACAATGAAAGGGACAATAGAGAAAACAAAGACAAGAAACAGCAAATCCATTTCTTTGTTGATAGCATACAAGAATTCGCTAGAGACATCGTAGGCGACGATACTGACGACGACTGAGCCCAAGCCCTCAAGGAGAAGATAGACTTCCAAGCTGAACAAATAAATTTGAACCTCGCGAGCGTCAAAAAGTATTCCCGTGAGACATTACTTTGGGCTTTTCATGAATATGCTACATCTCCACAATAGTATTTAATTTAATGTTGAGGAACACTTTTTTTCTTGGTAAGTGTTTTACGCGCTCGCAACTGCATAAGGCCATATGAGCGCGCGGGACACACCAAACATTTTCAGTTGGTAGTAAATTTTCAATTTTGCCCAGGTGGCGGCCGGCCGAAGCCTACTCTTATCGATTTTAGACCACCAAGGGATCTTTAACGTGCGCAACTTGCACACGGGCCCTCCGAGATTTCTCGCCCTTGTCCGAGAAGGCTAGGTATAGATCTTTCCTACCAGAAGATCAGGGGTGTGGCTGAAAGACAGCAGTAAGAAGGAGCCAAGGAGTAGCAGCAGAAAGGCTGTAACACTATTCTGACTCTGCCACATATCGGAAAAGGCTCTCCTCTACCCTCCAGATCAAAAGTGGGTATCAGGATGGGGCTCTACAGCAGGCCTACTTTGAAGAAAAAATGTCAGAACATGTCAGACAATGAGAGAAACGTTACTCTGATGGTGGATGAAATTCATGTCGCCCACCAATTATCATACAAGGAAGGCAAGCTGGAAGAAATGGTGAAATGGTATGGGTTTTAACGCCCCTATCAACACTATTAGGTTATTTAAGGGGCGAGACCTCCTAGTTTAACGTCCTTCTCCGAAAGGACCGAGACAAGTGGGAAATTCGTGTAAAGTGTCATTCCCAAGGACACAACGTCGGACCGAGCTTAGGCTCGAACCCCCGAACCCGCTATCTCACAATTACCAGTCCGGTAGCCTAACCACTAGGCTACCAACGACACCTTAGCTGAAAGGATTAGCCACAAACAACAGTGTCGCCAAGGCCAGTACAGCCCAAATGTTTATGATTTCCTCCTTGGTGTCAAAACAGAAAGATGTAACGGCTATGGTGCCAGTAAAAAACACAAATGCCAGCTGGCTACACATTACGATTACAAATGTGCTACGTGTGTTACACAGCGGTGGGTTTACCGTGGTCTTTGCCCTCACTGCCCCGTGTGGAGGAGAGCTCAAACCAAAGATCAAAAACCTCTTTAGGAAAGGCGAAAACATCTTTTTTTTCGACACTGTACACCTCTTCAAAAGCCTCCCCAACAATCGGTTTGCACAAAACGAAATGGAAAAAACCTTCACATTCCCAGCTTTGCAAGGTCAAGGGGACACAATGAAAGCATCATTCTCCCACCTTCAGAGACTTTTTGAAGAGGAAAAAAATCATCGGCAGAGAAACTTGCTCCGTCCCTCAACCACAAAAGCCTGAACCCAACAGTGAGAGAGAAGAAAAACGTTGAGCTAATGTTGAGCATTTTTTTACCAAAGAAACGTTGCCGCTTTGGAACATTTTGGATCTGTTTGGCAAGTCGATGCTCGCGGTACAAGACAGTTCCTGACTACTGTGATTTGGCTGTGAAATGAAAATGGTATGGTATTGGTTTAACGCCCCTATCAACACTATTAGGTTATATAAGAGGCGGGACTTCCTAGTTTAACGTCCGTCTCCGAAAGCACCGAGCCAAGAGGAAAGTTCGAATAAAGTGCCTTTCCTAAGGACACAACGTAGGACCGAGCTGAGGCTCGAACCCCCTGCTATTTATTATTATTATTATAGTCCTAAAAGAAGGAGTGAAGGGTTTGCACTGAAAAAAACCCATCTTCAAAACAATTTACCTGCAACTTTTCAAAGGCCCATAAAATGATTATAGTTATGATTGCAGCCCCCCAAAAAGCCTCTTCATCAGTTAGCACAAGGCTGACTGTGATTATTTAAAGACAAATACAACTAAACAGTAGAGTAACCTTCAACTGACAATAGCACAGCCCTGGAAAGACAAAGCCAGTTTTAAAAGTGCACAACCTTCTTCAGCCCTCAGGCCACCATCCGTGAATTCTTCAGACAGTTCCCGAAAAGTCATCGCCAACCTTTTGTTACGAATATGTGAAGAATCGACGGCATGCTTCCAGACATGACGGGCAGAGGAAGAAACGCTTATCAACGACCAGCGTCTGAGAGGAACACGGACCAGCACTTTGGGTTGGGAATCACACGAGAAGGTCAACACCGAGTCCGACAGAAGGTTCAAGGTCACCAGGCGCTCTCCCCACAACCAGCTGTCGTCAAAGTGAGGGTCGATGTGGGCTCCCCTCTCCTCGCAGTACTCCAGGTTGCATAACTCCACCGGCTCAAAGTTTTCCAGGAACGGAAGAGATTTCATTCTCTCGTACAAAACCTGACTATATGACGGCAATCCACTGAAATTTGCCATCTTCAACTTCTGCTTCTTGAAGTTCACTTTTGGGCCAAAGTCCTAAAGAAGAAAACAGAAGATTGTGTCAAAGTAATTTTTTATGTCATCCATATAAATATACTTTTATAGTAGGCATCCTGGTGAAATTAAAAGATCATCAAAAGACCCAAAGTATCTAAGATTCAGTTTTAAGCATCTGTGGATGTCTTTTTGAAACCAGATTACTCGAGGGAATGCCTGCAAAAGACGGTGCACATAATTCAAATGTAGAGAAGGGGCTGCACTCTTTCCAAAAGAATATTTATCATGTAAGAAATTTCTATTCATCATCACTTATTAAACAAACATCAAGTAAAAGTAGGCCTATAATATGAAAGTTGTGTCAGTTGATTAAAATCATATTTTTCTTGAACTTGAAAAGCACAATGGTCACAAAGTAAACGTCCCTAGTCCTAAAACAATCAACATTGCTAGATTTTCTTCCACAACTATGCATACAAATATTGTAAAAGCGGTACTGGGCTCCAACCTGTTTTCGTCGTCCTGACTGAGAGTTCACAAAGGGTGTCTGGGATATTGACTGCACAAGCTCTTTTTCTTCAGCAGGGGATACAAAGTTTTCCACTATGTCGATTCCATTGAAGTCGATCGCAGAGGTGTCATGAGAGCATGAGCACTGGGGCCTCCCAACCCCATTCTCTTCACCACCACTGGGTTCTTTGTCTGAAGACGAGTGGTGTGAATTAATTGCGGTATAATCTGTTTCTCCTCTGGGAGATAGAACAGCATTGTTCTGATCCAGTTCTTCAACTTCATTCACAATCTTGCTGAAGACAGACTCCCTCACAATGAATGCTTTCTTGCAGCTAAAGCAGTATTCATAATCTATCTGTTCTTTATTTTCCTGAAATGAACAAAAGAAAATTTTCTTATTAATTCTAAATGCTACTGATTTCCCTACTGAAAGAATTTTCTTACAAATTAACAGTTTCAGGTATGGTCACACATGAAAGTACTTACAAACCATACTACTTAAACTTAAACAAATACAACAATTAGATCCATGTGAACAGCCTTAGCACTCAACGAAACAAGTGAATTTTCAAGGCCACCTCTATTCTCATCCGGGGTGAGAATAGTGCAGGCGAGTCTTTTGGCTATTCTCACCCGGTGCGCGTTCACCGTTATAGCCTAGATCTAG